ATTTATAATAGAAACCTATTTTAACATAATTCAAACTATAATAGTTCCACTGGGCACCTCTATTAAAAAGAAAAGCTTAAAAAATCGATGAGCAGATTGTCATTAAAAAACTCATTTTGAACCACATATATTACTCCAGAGATTGATATTTCCTGATTATAAAATTTAACATAAAATTAAATTGCAAATTATTCTTTTTTTTAAACCACCAGACCACGCATGGCCTCAGGCAGTACGCTGCCAGTGTGAAACATTCGTTCAGCTCTAATGAACATATTTCCTGTAAGATTTGTATGAAAGAAAGCATCATTTTTTCCTTCCTAGTTTTGGTAATGGAGTTTCTTTTTCCGTATTATAAAGTATAAGAAGCGGTACTATATTTTTAGGAATTAGGCAAGTATATAAAGCCTTGAACTATTTAAAAAGTAAGCTGACTTCATGCATTTCCCTTCTGCTACTGCTTTTCTGAGGTAGAACAGAAATTCAGGTTTCAAAGACATATTTTACCCTTAGTCTACCTTTAGAATAGTGTGAGAAATATTTTCAATTTTAGGCAGAAACTGTCTGTTCTTAGTCTAAATAAACTTTAATTAAAATTATTCCTGGGTTGCTTTGCATAAGGTAACAGATAAATTTAAAATTAAAATGTGAAAGGAGATAAATAATTAATGTAGTAAGTAATTACAATGAATATAATAGTGAAATGATATAGCTAGGAATTTACTGGTATCAGTCAGTCTCTGCTTGACTCCTGTATTGTTCCACTTAAGTGATGCCACTTGCGACCTGCCAGGGAAATGTGATGAGAGCTGATGCCAAAGTTCTTTCCAGCTGTTTTGTGTCTGAGGTTGGCATTGGCAGAATGGATAATTAAAATAAGGCTTTTGATTTTACTGCAGATCTTTTCTGAAAAAAAGCCCTCTTTTCTTAAGTATTTCTCTGAATTATGCACCTGTATCATGAGACGTACCATTTTCAGGATGCCTACTTTGAGGAATAGGGTACAGTGTCTTATCCATAACTGGAAGTGTGTTAAACATTAATATTTTGGTTAGCTTTCTGTGTCTGATATGTATCAGAACAAGCCTATAACTGCAGCAGCAACAGCTGTTGGAATTACCGGTGTGTGCTTCTCATGACCTTTTATAATTCTTTGATGGATTTGGGAGAAATTTTATGAAACTGCAGACATGGTGTAGGGCATTTTTCTCAGATCAAAGATGAATTGCTGTAATTTGAATTAGCTGGCTACACTCTTCAGCTGAAATGCAATTTACTTTAAGATATATACTTAATTGTAATGAAGATTCTTGCCTTGCCAGCTCCTTTTGCTATTGATTTTTAAGCTGGGACTAGTTATGTGATACAATAACAGACTTACAGGGTGGTCTGGGAGCTACATATATCAGGTTATTGATGCTGACTGTCTCTCACATTTGTTCTAAGGAAGCATTAAAAACACTGGCATTTTTACCATTTAAAGAGTGGTGTGGTTTCCTACTCCGTAAAAAAAGAATAGAATTTTTTAATTCTTTCATAGAAGAAAATATGTGGTTTTGATCCATGTTTTGTGTCAAAATATTCCTCTTTCTATATATACTAAATATGATTTTCAGTAAAAACTGAAACTCTGTTCTTGCAATAGATGCTACATGGTGGGGAAAGCTTATCATGTTAGGCTAAAAAGGGTTGTTTCTCCAACGCTATAGCTTCAGTCATATTGATTTTAACAGGACAAAATCTGACTTCTATTAAGATATACACTAATATATGTAAGATTGCATTGATTGGCACTTTGGCTGCAAAAAGTCCTTCGCTAGTGGCAAAGGTGTCTGTAGACCATCAGCAGGGCTTCCTGGTTCACCCCAGGTGCCTGGTACTTGAGTTTTCCTCACTGATCCTGCATGAATGCTTCTTTATTCTCAGATTCCCCTCAGTGGGCACCCAGGGGAGCAGCCAGGGTGGTTCACTCGAGAATCTGCTCCAGAGAGACTGTTGGCATGGAGTGCATCAGTATGTGCTCTGCTGCAGCAGCTCTGGTCCTTCAAATGCTCCTGTGGCACATCACAGGGTATGTAACACACATGCTAAATACTGTCATCTTGAACCATTTGTCCACCACTCTGCTGAGCCGGACATACGTCCTTCTAGTATTTAATGCATCTTGAATGGAGAATATGTGCATATATGTGATGTTATATCTAAATGACACAGAGACACTACAAAGAGACTGGAGAGGATATGATCTCATCAGATGCTGGGCAGTGTGGAGATGACTGGTTTGTTGCAAATAATGCCGCCTCTGAGCAGTGTAGGCAGAAGCCAGTGCATATGTGTTGATCTATGGGTTGTTTTATTCCCCTTGTGCGACCCACAGTGATAATTGGTTCATTGGATAATTCAGGCTGGAAGAGATGTCAGGAGGTCATCTAGCCCAGTGTCCTTCTCAAAGCAGGGTCAGCTACAAGGTCAGACCAGGCTACTCAGGGCTTTATCCAGTTGTCTGAAAACCTTCAAGGATGAAAATTATGCAGCCTCTCTGGGCAACTTTTTCCTTTGCTGTACTGTCCTCATGATTAAGTTCTTTTTTCCTTAAATTCATTCTAAACCCCTCTTATTTTGACTTCTCCTTTTTGCCTTTTGTCCTCCCAGTATGCAGCATTGTGCAGATCTTGGTTTCATCACCTTGATGACCACCTTGTAGGTCCTGGAGGGTGACCAGGTACCTCTAGGAGGTACCTGCACTATTTATATAATACAATACCTTAAATTCCCTTTCATTCTCTTAATGCAGTAGTCCAAACCAAGAAGTGAAGAGTAGGTTTTGTTAAAAAAAAAATAATAGAATAAAAGTTTATAGAATTGTATGAGTCTGGTAAGGTTTGGAATAATTCTGAAGAACACAGTGCTATGACATACAGAAGCAGACAAATGAGGAATGCCTGCTTGGCTCTGCTGAAAAGCAGAAATCTATTAGTGGTGACACAGAAATGCAGTAACGTAGCTACATTGCTTCTGGCATCTGAGTTAACTTGTTCAGCGCTATCTCCCTCCATAAAGCATCGAGCTTTTCTGAGTATATATGAGATCAAAAGCAAGTACAAGATAAAAGCATGATTTAGGCAGATCTGTCCTAAATTTTGTCCAGTATCTGAAATTAAAAAATATTTCAATGTGAAGAAAATTTCTTCAGTGTATTATTGCATTTTCAGGAGCACTTGCTTTTGGTTATAGCAGCAGGAGCACTTCATATTTTGCACTACATGCATTATCAAATAATGTAAGCTTATCTTGACCATAAAATAGGGATTTTATGAAATAAAAAAAAATGTCATCATCCTTCTTGCATTGGTTGTAAGTTACACTTGCTGGATTTGTCGTTAACAGAATTTAATATATTTTATCTGCTGTTGTGTTTTCCACCCAGATAAAACCAAATGATCATTCCACAGAGCTGTGAGTCAATTTCACTGTGCAGAAAGACAAAAATACATGGATTTGAATGATTTCCCTATGATCTCATAGCAATTTGTGGTAGAGCTGGGGATTTAAAATAATCTGTGGCAGAGCTGGGGATTTAAAATAATACAACATTGCTACTTCTGTACCGTATACACAGGAAACCTGTGATAGAAAACTAATTACACCAATTTGAATATTAAGTGGCATCATGGCAGTAAACTACTCCAAGGGAAATATGTTATTTAGAAGGAAGTTGACAACCTCGTGTATCACAAAACGTAATATATCACGATGGGATGAATAATGTAAAAGAGTGAATTATAACATACTGTCTTACAGAATTGCTGCTGTTATTATTATTTATACCATGTCTTCTACGTATATGTTGAATGCAAAGGTTTTGCTACTGTATACAGAATTGTGAGCTAATTAATTTTTATGCTGAGGGAATTTTGGCCGTGTCTCAACACCATGTAAGAGGTTGAAGACAGTTAATAATAGGGCTGATATATCATTTTCTTTCAAAAGCCAATATTCAGCAAAAAATTACCAAATTGTCTTTCAGAAAAAATGCTCAGGGTTCTCTGCAAAACTTTATTTTTCCATGGAAAGTTTTCAGGAAAACAATACTATATATATTTACTTTTCTCAAAAACTCAGAAATGTATAGGGAAAAAATCCGTGATGGTAACAAATGTGTTTTCTTTAACAACTTTTGTTAGAGAATATTTTTGACCAGATTTCTCGGAGGAGTTCCTTTGCATTGTCTATTAAATATTTTTAAATATCCACAGGTATTTTCATCCTGTATACCATAGAATAGGAAAAAGGATGGTAAATTCTGTGACAGGGTTTTCTGCATTGGAAAATTTTTTTGTTGAAAAGCATTTCTTCATAGTGAAAATGTAAATGTCACACTTGAGCAAACAGACAAGAAATGAATCATTACCACTCAGTTCCTGGGAAGTAATATTCACTATTAAGGGAGATTATGCAAGGTCTTCTGTCTTGGTTAAAACTTCTAAATTTTGTTCTGAACTAGCTTGACTAGGAGGCAAACTAATGGCAGGGTTCATAGGGGAAACAAATCTACGTGTAGTAGCTTCACCACAAGGCCCACGTGACCCAAGGAGGTTATTGTGGCCAATCTGTTCCATTGAATCGGGCTCTGGGGAAGGTTGTAGAGCTGTCAGCAGAAGTATGAAGAGCACTGGGTAGTTCATCAATATTCTGTGTGCCACTGCTATTTTTATGAAAACTTAAGAATTAGCTTTCCACCTAAGGAGCAGTCTCCTGCTCTTCCTCAAAGTTTGACTGACTTGCAAACACTTTCAATTTTTGGTTCACTGGAATATGCATATAAAGGTGAAAGTCTGTAATAAACCACAGGAATTCGCGTTCTGTAATAAAAATGAATTATTCTTCTGATTTCAAATGAATATTGTACAGGAAAGGTAAAATAATCATTACCACCAGGACCGGTCTGCAGTTACAGACCTAAAATTAAATTTAAGAACTTATTAGCATGAGACTCTCACCTTAAACATTCAGGATCAGTCTGAGGCTTTTTACTGACTTGGACTTTTTCTGCTTCCAAATCTTTTGTCATTCTTTCAGCCTCTCTGATTACTTTCTCAAGATCTAAACATAAAATAACAATTACCTTCTAAATGCAGATTAATCATCCATATTTGAAGACTTCTTACATTTTCTAAATTTATCTTTTCTAATATTTCTTCATGAAACTGTTTGTAGGGTAAGGGCATCTGAGTAATAACATGAATTATTTTATTATTGTAATTGGTATGCATATTGAAATCTTGTAGAAAATGTCATTCCTTCATTCCTTTTCCATACAAGTTATGACCATATTTATGGCCGGTCTTTTCTGGCTCTCTTACTGTGACAAATTATTTACACATTGTAAAAAAAGTTACTAAAACACTTAAAGATTACTTTTTTTAATCCAAATTTCAAAATCATCTCTATGGCTTGTGACCCCCTTTGACACAGAACCTTTTTTAGTTCCTTCTGTCTCTTTTTAGTTGTTTCTTTCATAGGGTTTCCTGTGTATTCAACACAGCTTTGTGTGTAGACTTCTTTTTTTTATGCACAGACTTTCATACATGAAATGTGTACTTTCATACACAAATGTCCATAAAGAGATGACAGTTGAATTTTCAACTCGGAGATTTACACCTAGGCCAAGTCTGTCTTTATTAATCTTTATTATCTACAAGCCATGTTGCTTGTTAAACATTTAGATTTTAATGACATTCATTCATTATAGGTTAATGAGTTTTAAACAATATTTATGTTGATTCTAGTTTACTTTGAAACACTAAGTTCTCCATTTAAGTACCAGGGAAACTAAAACTTCCCTTTTCATATTTATAAGTTATGATTCAGCAAATCTGTAGATGTCAGTAACGCTGATATTTAAAATAAACCTTATAGACATCCATAATATTTCTTATAGCCATGTTTAAAATGATGTATTACATAATGTAAAAATATACTAAAATCTTGTTTCTATGAGATCTTTTTCTTGAGAAAAATAACTTGACAGAAAAGATTTTTCAGAAGCATTTGTCAAGACGCAAATAATTATCATAACAAGTGATTATCAGGCATACCTTTGAGCTCACTTTGGAGGGTAAATAAATCCTGCTTTAATTCACTCTTCTGCAGCTGCAGTGCATTTAACTGAACATTTTTATGTTCCATTGACTCCATTTCTAAGGGGAAAAAAAAACCATTTAAATTAAAATGCATTGCAGTTTTAGTCTTCATGATATCTTAAATTTTCATAACTTCTACCAATCTTCAGCTAGTCAAAAAGAACCTCAAATATAAAACTAAAATCGGTCATATAAAACCCAGTTCACAGGAAATTACATGTCATATAATGTGTCCATAACTGTGAAAGAAAATATTTTTTTAATGTTATTAAGATGTTTGACGTATTTTGTTGATTGGGCATAAAATGAATTATAAATATTTTGCTTTAGAGTTACTTGAGCTATAAAGGAAGATGACTTATTGAGTAGGTGGTGAACAAATACCTCTCAGCAGGACCAAAAAGAACTTGTTGTGTTTAGTGTTATGGACATTTGAACCTGACCGTTGACAGCATCTGGAATTAATTGTGATTGTTTCCCTGACAACTGGAGGTCCTCACATAATTTCCTTGTTATGAATTACTTAAACTTTTCTCTTTAGTGTTGTCAGGATGCTCAGTACTGTAGCAGTCAGAAAGACAGAGAAGTTATACTTCAAAAAAGGTGCAATTTAAAAGGATGGTATCAAGACAGCAACTAAACCCAGAGCAGAGTGTTAGTCACGTTTCATGTCCTACTCATCTAACCTGTAAGAGTCCATTTGGCTGATCAGATCTCTTTGCATACATAAAAATTAATCAACAAAAGTAACAGGTGCTACCAAATTAAAGCTTTATTTCAGAATCAGAGACACAGGAAATATGGAAAGAAGTCACCACCAAGTACACTTAAACAGATAGTCTTATTTCAGTACCTTTACACCAGATATTGGGAATTTAAAGTGCTGGCACTTGATGAATCATAGAATCACGAGACTAGAAAGGACCAGGAGGAACATTGAGCATTCCTCCTCCTGAAGGCAGGATTGGCTGTACCTCTGTGATTTCTGACAGATGCTTGTCTAACCTTTTCCTAAAGACCTTTGGTAGGGGAGACTCCTAATTCATTTGGTATTGGAGTGTTTCAGTAGTTCACTGTTCTGAGAGAGATTTCTGAACAGTCAGTCAGACTCTTATTGTGGTGTATGCTTGGTTTTATTCAGTTTACTGCAGGTATGGAGAATATATTAATTTCTTTTTTGCAGTATCCTTTAGCGATTTGAAGACTGATATCCATCTACCATCAGTCTTCTCTTCCATATGTTAAATAGTCCCAATTCTTTAATTCTTTTCCTTCTCATGTTCTCTGGATCTCTGATCACTCACTGGGTGCATGTGGATTCTCTCCAGCTAGTCCACATTTTTCTTGAAGTGCAACATTGAAAACCAGATGCACAGTACTCCAGCTAAGAGCTTAACTGCTTTAAGTAGAGTGAAGGATTATTTTGCATGTCTTAAGGGTCAGAATTACATTTATGTCTCAGTATGGTGTCAGCATTCTGATGTCATTGGCTCATGTTCAGCTTGTGATCCCTGATGACTCCTATTTCCTCACTGAAAGATTGTGTTCCAGTCTGACTCTCTGTTCTGAGAAATCTCATATTCTGTATCTTAACTCAAAGACAAAGTTATGTGGTGGCAATAAAGGATCAGTCCTACAAGATACCTGTGCATATAATGCTTTTGAAGTTAAGGAAATTTACATAGCTCCACCACAGGTGATTATAATCTTTGCAAAGACAGTGCAACAGTGCACCTTTGTGCTGGTTGACGTTAGACATTGGGAGCCACTTCTGCAGGTCTGCTTCTTCTCCCCATAGTGCTCATAATAAAAGGACTGAAAAGGCCAGGGAACAGAAGAGGCTTTAATTGTGCTTGTGTGATGTGGTATGTCAGGCTGCACTCTCTCAGTTTAGTATGAAGAGGAAGTTCCAGACAGCAAGGGAATAGAATTAAAATGATTGTTTTGCACAGCTATTTTTTACTGATTTTTATTCATGCTCTGGTAATCCAAGATAAAATAGTTTAATATAAGACTTACCATTTTTCAACAGAGCTGCCTCATTCTCTAAATCATTTATTTCAGTCTTTACTTTTTTTTTAATCAGAAGATCTCTATTACTTGTTAGTCCATACTCATTATTAAACTCTGTTACTTCTCTAGTAAAATTGTCTTCCTCTTCAGTCATTTTTCTCTTTACATCTGTCTGAAAAAAAGAAAGAGAAAATTGAATGTTCAGTTGAAAATAAAAGAAAGCCTTTGTTAAGCTAGGCAGGCAGACTGAAACACACTGTTGTTGTTTATCTGTAAATTTATAGTATAAATGTATTAGATTTACTTTTCCTGATTTATGAGAACATGAAAATAATCTACACCTCTATCATTTTCTCTGCTGCTTTAACCTTTTTTTTTCCCTGAAAAAGTGAAGGATATATTCTTAATAATAAAACATTTTAAAAATCACTACATTATGTTACAGACTTGTGCCGGCAGTTTTCAGTTTAACTTTTTGTTGAAATTAGTATAAAGATCTGTATAATGTTAGAGGCTTCCCCAGGCTGAGGGGAGACCTCATCACTCTCTACGACTACCTGAAAGGAGGTTGTAGAGGGGTTGGGGTCGGTCTCTTCTCCCAAGTAACAAGCCATAGGACAAGTTGTGTCAGAGGAGGTGTAAATTGGATATTAGGAAAAATTTCTTCACCTAAAGGGTTGTCAAGCATTGGAACAGGCTGCCCAGGGAAGTGGATGCATCACCATCCCTGGAGGTATTTAAAAGATGTGGAGATGTGGAGGCTTCGGGAGATGGTTTAGTGGTGGACTTGGCAGTGCTAGGTTAATGGTTGTACTCAGTCTTAAAGGTCTTTTCCAACCTAACGGATTCTATGGTTCCTCTGCAGAATACAAGCTTAGTTTCACTATTGTGGAGATGTGGAGGCTTCGGGAGATGGTTTAGTGGTGGACTTGGCAGTGCTAGGTTAACAGTTGTGCTCAGTCTTAAAGGTCTTTTCCAACCTAATGGATTCTATGATTCCTCTGCAGAATACAAGCCTAGTTTCATTACCTTAATAACTGCCAAGAAAGCTATAGTTGATAGGAAACCACTGTTTTATTTTCTGGAAAAAACATTCTAAAGAGAAAGGCAATCTTGAATTCCTTTAAAAAAACTTTTAGCTGATTGTGATTGCTAAATTAAATAAAAAGAAATTATCCTTATATACAGGAAGAAAGAAATGATAATCTATATATCTAACTTGACTGGTTACACTTAACAGAAACATCACACTTCTTCAAAGGATATTTAGCTTTTATAGTCAAATATTTTTTCTACAAAAATTAGAATATTTTTTTTCTTTATGTACTTAGGATTGGGAATGCTTTGGATGCTGAAGCAATATTATTTAATTAAAAGGATATCTGCTCAAATATTTTGGGTTAATAATGGTGATTCATGCTGAATGTTTAAAATTTAGCTCTGCTCATTTAAAGTGCAAATACATATGCAAAGACTGCTCATCCGTGGTCAGAATTGGAGTTCAGTCATAACAGTAGATATTGGAAAATGGCATGAAGAATCTTAAGTCAGTTCTGTAGATAAACTGCAGCACACATTAGGTTAGATCATGTTTTGAATTAAAAGTGAGAATTTTTCTACATTTATATTGTTATGTATGCTAGAGTAAAAAAAAATAAAAATTGATTTTCCAGGTTTAAAATATTACTTCCTTCCATATTTTCAAATTTTAAAGCTAACTGCTCTTATACAGTAGACAAGAGCTGTCTGAATACTGTAGCTGGAAACATACGAAGATTTTAAGAAGATGACTTTTTTGATTAATTAGTTCAGATTTCTGTTTTTCTAAGCTGTCTTCACGTTTCTTCAGCACTTCTAAGTAGAACCTTTTTTCAGACAGATGCTGAACCTTCCAAGAGAGAAAAAAAAAAAAAAAGGTTATAAAAATATGTTACAAAGTAAGACTTTTTTATTGTTTCATATACTTTGATATTGTATATAAGGATCTTGGTCCAGTTAAAACACAGCTGGCACAGCTGCTGGACTAGTGAAGCAAAACAGCTCTTTCTTTCTCAAGTAATCTCCCAATATACCACTAGGTTTTTGAAAAGTATCCATTCTTTAAAAGACACGTTTAGTGCTGGCCCATCTTTTAACATGGCATTTTAAAGTCTGTTCAGTTTAGGAGATATTTTTTCAAGTTCAAACCAGGAAAAATATTGATCACATGGGAGCTTTTATCCAGCATAATGCAGTGTCCTCCATCTAATGATGTAAAGCATATCACATACCAAATCAGACAATAACATTGGAGGGACAGGGGTCCAACATCATTGTTCTGACTGAATGGCTGTACATATCATCAACTCTGCAACGCTGCTATTGTGTAGGCAAAGGAGGGAGGGATATGTTCATATTCTTTTGAGCACAATTTCTGGAATTCTTAGCCAAGAAAGTGTATTGGAAATTAGCTCATTGGTTAAAGACAGCTTAGACAGTTTGACCATAACACCTCTCTCTCTTCCCCGTCAACCCCACACTCATTTCTTTAATATAGTTTAATATTTAGCTTTGTTAATTTTAAATAGTAGTTTATCTGATAGAAGGGAATGCTCTTCAACCATTGCATTTTCAAAATTTACTGAAGAGTTCCTCTTCATTTTCCATCCCATCCACTGTATCATAACCTAAGTTAAGATATATGGTGGGTTAAACTATGACAGCGGATAAATAGGGAACAGCTAAGTGTTGAAGAGTCTTAAAGGATGAGAATCATTCATCTGATGAAGTGGAGAAAAGGAGGTCAAGAGAATGACTCAGACTGCAATACTCAGAAGAATAAGTGGGGAAAGTAAAGTTAGCAGAATTGCCCACAGACTGTAAAGGCACAGGGTAAGTATCAGAAAGTAAATTGAATAGTCAAGCTGATACATGACTGTATGTGCAGAAGCAGGAAAAAACCAAATAATAGTAATATTGCAGAGGTAAAAAAATTAAAAGATCGTAAAATGAAATAACGCAGATGATCTTGGAGAGGGTGCAGATGAAGTGCATCCAATCAAAAAAGGAGGATGATAGCGGAATCAAATGCCCAAAGACTAGAATGTGAGAGTTATAAAGGAAAGGACCAGATTTTTTCCTCATCTTTGATATGTCTGGCATGCTAAATATCCAGGAAGTGCTTGCCTCCGAAATATTTATTTTACATATGAATTCAAAGATCGGATGGTCTTATACCACTGTATTTCTATTACTGAACATAACTAGCTGCAGTACAGTTTCTCCACCTGTAAGATGCCAACTTAATCTATGCACTTACAACAGATTTTTTTTTTTAAGAAATCATTGAGCCATGAAAAGCAAAATGCTATAATTTGGGTTCTAATCACATGCTACCTCATTTTACAGAGGGAAGGAAAAAACAGCATTTCCTAGGAATCTCTGATTGACCACAGGCAGTCTCTGTGCAATAGATGTCAAAACACTTTTGAACTCACTCTCATCTGCTTGGTCAGGCATAAAATGCTGTGCATGCATGTGCTTGGATATGTATGCTTATAAAGAAGCGTAGTTATTTGGTGCAGGACAAATTGAATGGCACTAGCTGAACAGCATTATTTAATATTATTTGAATTACATTAACTATTGTAGACATATGTAAATGTAATTCCTGTACTGAAAAATAAATTGCTTTAAATAATTTCAATAACTATATAATCTTTAAAACTAAATACAGTCTGATTGAAATGCATTTTCCCTTTCCACTTGTTTTCTGTATCATTTCCTATCTATAAATGAATCAATGCCATACTAAGCAAGGAAGTAAAATGTATTTTTGTGGACATCAGTGAGAATATTATTAATCCTGCTGGGTAAAGCACATAAGATTTAATTAGGAATAGTTCTTCATCTCTTCCCATTAGTCATTTACAATAATGGCTCTACTCTTGGGACCTTCTATACCTACCTCATAAACCTTGATTATAAATCACAGTGCATCAATAACAAATTAGTAGTATAAACATAAAATTGTGATGTTCATAAATAAATTTATGAGCAAGACTACAAAGGGCTTTACCTAACAAGCAACATCAGGATATAATCTGTGTTGGTTAAATAAGTTACCGTTTTAAAGTGCTTTTGGGCTCTGAGATTGTGGCGGGCACAAATGCTAGCACTTAAGTAACAGCTTGCATGATTATAGTCTGACTTTGCAACAAGTAAATATTTGTAAATGAGTAATTTTGTTACTTATTATATATATTACATAGCCTTCCGCAAAAGGCAGAAGAACCTGTTTTTGGAAGGATGAAAATCATCCCCCAAACATCTATTTCCACAGCTAGGTGAGGTAATCCCCCAAAGGTTCTTGAAGATGTTTATTTAAGTGATAGGATACAACACTTCTGACTTCAAAGGAGGCTCCATATGTTTTCCTGTTGTGCATACACGATCTGCCAGTGCAAATACTTAAGAGAATAGGGGATGATACTTATTTTTAGGCACAAACAAATGGATTTTTAAATCATTTGTAACCGCAGGTATTAATGTCAAAAAACTCTGCAAAACTGGAAGCATAATCTAAAAATATGTCTGCAGTTTGATTACATGGAAATCATAATAAAATCTTAAAAACATTAAATAGATGCAGACACTTTCCTCTGTCTTCAGTGTCCCCAGAAAAATTTCTTAGGCCTTGTCAGCCCTAACTGTGAGCCCAGGCCCACAGGAGGAACTTTAGTAATGACTCAAGATGATGTGAAGTAAACACAGGGAATGTTCCCATGTATCTTCTGTGAAAGGCCTTTAGTGAATGGTAGTGGAAAGCTAAGGAATGGTTTCCAGGCCTCTGAAGGAAGTCTTCTCCAGGACTGTGAAGATAGGGCCACTCACACCCTGCCTGAACAGCTCGTCTGTCCCCAGCTGAGGTCTGGTGGCTCCATCTCGGGGACAGACCGACCTGACATGACAGTCACTCCCTGCCGAGGCCTTTCCACGGAGCAGGAGATGTATGTGTCTGTGCTGTCTCCAGTGATTCCAGGTTTTTAGGTGGGTTATCTGGAAATGTTCCTACCCCTGAGGTGAGCGAGTCCCTGAACATGCCCAGGGGGCAGCCTGAAGGGTGAGATTTGTGAGAGGGAAAGCCGTCGACAGACCTTTTTTCACTACGGACATGCACAGAGTAAATATTCTCAATGCTGTGTTATTCAGCAGGTAAAAGTGTTTATGAATCTATTCCTGACACAATAGGTCATATATTTGTAAATATAATGTATTCCGTTATTATGTATACTATAAACATGCCTGCTTACCTTCGTTTCTAATTTCATTTTTGCAGTGCTCAGCTCTTCTTTTATTTGGTTAATTTTTTCATAACTTCTGTTTATGTCGAATTTAGCTGCAACACAACGAAAACCGTGTGCTCAGTTTGTAAAAAGTTACATTCTTGTAAAAAGGTGCCATTGGCAAGAAGCGGCCAGCCTGGCTGCCTGCAGAGCTTTCACCGGCAAAGCTCTCCTCATGACAGCACAGAGGGGCCACTTTGCTTTTCCTCAGGGAAAGGGAGATGTGGGAATTAAGAAATGGAAATTAAGTGTGGCTGGTTCTACCACCAGACCCACAAGATGGCGGCCATGGTACAGACCTTGTTGGATGAGGCGCCTCTTCTCCCCCGCCTGCTTCTCTGTGAGCTGTATTTGATGGAACAAAGCATCCAGGTTCATTCCCGTTGTCTCACGGAGTCTGTGGGCTCTCTGAGCCTTGTTGTCTTTGTGGAGGGCTGGTTGATTAAAGCTGGGAGGCCCTGGTGGAAGGGGAGGCTGGGTGCGACCACAGCCCTTCCCTCAGGGCTCTGCACCCTGCCAGGCCTTGGCTCTGGCCTCTGCCTCCATGGGGTCGGGAAAGAAGCCCCTGACCACGGAGGGAAGAGATCATGGTAGATGGGACGTGGCTGAGGAGTTAGAGGTGACAGAGTGGAAGGTTTGGGCTGCCCAAAGTAGAGGGCAAGAGTGAACGTTGGCAGTTGCTGGGGGAGCCAAGATGGGAAACATGCGAGATGGGAACGAGCAGACAGAGAAGCAGCACAGTAGAAGCAGGAGAAAGAAGCTGTTTGGCTAGGCAAAAAGCAGCTGATGCTCTGAATCTCCGCAAACTTCTGCGTATTTGTGAAAAGTTGGTTCTGACTCGGGGTTTAGGGAGTTTTGGTCAAAGAGCTCTGACCATTTCTCTGGGGCCACAGGATTGAGTTGTTCAGAAGATGCTTCTTTATACCCCTTCCTATTTCTACGGAGTGATCACCATCTTTCTTAAATATTATATCTGCACAGGTTTATTTGTCATTTGAAGGAAGGTTGATGCCTAACCTTAGCAGTTAAGGAAGTAGGCTAAAATCTGCTGTCATACAGAAGAAGGTGGGAAAGCTAACTTAAATAACAGTGATCAGACTCAACTCAGTTGCATTTCACCATTAACATAAAATTACAGTGTTTCTGTTCCAGTTGGTCTTAGTAAGCAAAGATCATAATGTAGACCGTTGTATACTCTTCTGGAGCCTACTTGTGTATGAGTTTACTATGCTCTGAGCTTCTGCAGCTTTCTGGTTTGTACATTACTGAATGGAATACCTGGAAATGCAAATACCCAGCTGAAAATACAAATCATATTACAGGGTTTGTTCCTACATCTTGAAAAGGATTAACTACATGCCCCGAAGGGAATACCTATGTGAAGTTGGCCATTTTGCTTTGAGGAAGAAAAAGCCTGGAGGAATGGAACTTTATACCCTTTCAGCCTTTTTAACGTTGAAAAAGATTAGGATTATTGACAGTCCTGTCTTATTAAAGAGTTCTCCTGAGAGGAGATACTGTCTTGGAATAGACTGCAGCAGCAAAATTCAGAAATTAGAAAGAGAAAATCTTTGACCACAAAAAAGCAAAACAATATATGTGAGAGTGTAAATGTCTCATTAGTGAAAATGCTGTCCTAAGTTAGTAGAATGAAAAAGAGAATTCTGGAAAAACGTTATGTTATAGCATTGGCTGCTTAAAAAGCATCATGTTATAGCTGATAGTGTGCTATAAAATGGTGTGTTTTAAAGAAAAGACATTGCCCTATATTAGAAAGAAAATGTGGGTTCTGATGAAATTTTAAAACCTGAAACTAGCACATTATGTTGCAGGAAATGAAATTATTTTTTTAAATGGAACAAAGTGCAACTGAGGAAGAAGAGTTCACAAAAGTGAATTTAGAAAATGTTTCAGAAGTGAAGCCTCCTACCCAAAGGCCAAAAGAAAAGTGGATGAGTCAAACGGGAACATTTGGTGATTGAGACAGTGATTTGTTACACAGGTCTGATGACTGAAAAAGTCATTTTACAAAATTCAAGAAAATGAACTGTTCTATCAGTGGATCAAGGAGAAAATAAAATGAAAAGCTTTCTTTGAAGTTTTTGAGACTTGACTGCTTTTGTGTTTCAAACTGAGAAAGCTGCTGTAGGCTGGGATAGTGTTCAGTGTCACTTATTAAAGGAACGACTGTGTTTGGTGGAGGGTGCTTCAGTGCCTCTAATTATGGCAAAGGAACTGCTCTCCCTAGAAAGAAGAGTCTGGCTCCAACTACACTTCTCACTGTCTGAGAATGACCATTCAGTGCGATTAAATTCTGTAAAAGATTCCTTCAGAGACTGAAAAAACTCAGAGTGGGACAAGTATTTGACATTAAGCTTCATAGTTTTTGACTCTTGCAGCTATTTGCCATGTGGCTGATTTTTACATGGTAAATAACTCACAATAGTAACTCAGGATTCTATAACATGAACCATGCATGTGAAACGTATAAAAGTGCTTTCAGAATCAGGATCAAGGCCACTACTTCAAAGGTGTGTAGTTGCCTAGCTCCCATAGAAATGGATGAGATGGTATGAACCTAAATGCTTCAGAATAAAAGTAAAATGTGAATTACCTTCACTCGACACCGACTTTTGCCAAGTATAAGATCTTTTTTAAATCACTAGCTGCTTGAAAGGTGACACTAATTTTATTCTGTTGGTCATATCAGTGCATCCTAATCTTAATCTATATCTGTATCTTAATCACCGTACTGTAATCAAGTCATGTCTTTCTAGTGTACTTCAAAATTCGTAATTGCCCTTTGTAATCAGACTGCTGTGCTAATAGTAAAGTTTCTTCTACAAGTTTCTTCTCTAGTTTGTGTAGGAAGAAGAAAAGAAAGATTTTGTTTGTAATTTCAAGTCACAATATAAATATTTATTAGTATGATTTACTTCCAAATTATATATGCTCAAATTCCTTCAAAATTTGTTTTTCTGAAAGCCAAAAATGAAAGAAGCAAGTTAAAGAAGTGGCAGCATAAAGATTAGATGATGCAATATGGTCTTCACCATCAAAAATTTATAGTAGAAGCCAGAAATTATAGGTTTATAGTTAAAAATAGATTTCCTCTTTTGTTCTTTAGCACTGTTAGTATTATTTTTTCCATATACAAACTACACTGCTTTTGAAATGTGTTGTCTATAGCAAACTTTCTTCCCCTACTACATCTCTTTGGTCTTTTTTTGCTCTTGGTGGTCTTTGTATTTGTTATCTACTCTTGCATTAACTTTTTTTCTACCCTACATGAAGGAATAAAGCCAAATTATTCTGTGGCATAAATTCACAGCTATCATTTTGTGTTCAGTGCTGATGTCTGAGCTATTCTTTACTGAAAAATAGCATATATACGCATGTGTATATATATAAATAAAGAGAGAGCACTAAGCACTTGGAATGCAGTGTTGAACACTGCGTGTGTTGATGGAGAGGCCACCACAAATAGTGAGAAACCCAGTAATCATTTGGCATAAGTAAGCAGAAGAAATAGCAGACTTATTCAAAATTAATTTTATGATGTGGCTTTTAAGATCAAAGCTTTATCTCTACTATTTAAAACTTCATCGTTAAAACAGAGCAAGCAGTGTAAAGTGGTAACATGTAATAAAGTGGTTTTAATGCAAATCAAGAACATTGTGTGTGGTTGTTCTCCCCCTCCCCCTGGCCAGCCATTGAGCTGCAGGGATGGATAGAGATGTTCTGCCTCTTCCATGGCCTGTCTCCTGCCCAGGCTGGGTGGGATTGAGGGGAACACAGGAACAGCAGAACAAGCACTTGGTGGCCTCTGCTTCAATATATTTGAGTTCCTAGTAATAAAAAGAAAGAAAAAAAAGAGAAAAAAAAAAAAGAACTCAATTACTTCTGAAAACCTAGAGTGAGAAACCTAGGAATAGGAATATTAAAGTGTAGTAATAACCTATAATTTACAACCTATCTCTAATTTCCTGAGGAACTCAAGTTAAACACAGTCTAGTTATTATCTCTGGAAGAGTGAGAGCAAATCACTGACCCACGGGCTGGAAGCTCTCCATTTCTAGTAGACTGCTCAGCAAGGGGCTCATGAACGGACACTCCTTTTCCTCCTTGTAACAGGGAGGAAATAAACTACAAAAATCCATATAATAAAAGACAAAATACAGGAAACTGTAGAAATAAATCCCTGGCAATTATATGCAAATGAATACAGAATGTTTCACTGAGCCCCAAATCCCTATTTGTCTGTTTTTTCAGGTAAAAAAATTGTGAGTTAGGGAAAAGCTGTGTGTGTTTATAATGTGTTAACAAACACTGAGAAGTAACTTTGTACTCCCCCAGCATGTCTGGCTGCAGTGGAGAATTAGCTATACTCTTTTCCACTTTGGTAGGAATGTAAACAACTTCACAACAGATGTTCTTTATAAGGACAGAGCCTGCTGTTTGCATTGTGATAGCTCCGTTTGAGTCTTATATCCAAGATTTTGTTTAATTCCATCTGGAAAGGCTTCATTGGATTCCTTTGGGTTACAAAAGTAAAGATTACTCTTTCAGGTTTTTAAATCGAAGTTTTCTACTGTCTTTGGTTATAATCACACAGCACCTGCTTTCTTTGCTGATCGGTAGCTGTGCTGTTATATAGGTATGTCCATTGCTCCTCTGTAATCATTTAAATATATTTCAGTTGTCTCTTTTACTGGATCTAAGAGTCTATCTTAAAACTTTTTTGCTTTGCTATTCTGTAGTATTTGGATAAGCGAGAAATGAGGCTCGCGTTTTGAAACATTCATCAGAGCTCTTATTTATCTTGGCATAATGGTAGTAACTTTTCTAATGGAGAAAGAATTTTTCAGATCTGGAGTGCGTATCACAGTACAAAATACTGCCTTGGCTTTGCATTTTCATAGTAAATTTTCTTAATTATTTGGCTGGAAAACTGCAGTTTGTTTTACATCAATACCAGTTATCACTAAGTTGGCAACCAGTGGAAGCTACAACAGAAACAGTGAAAAAATACTTTTTAGATTTTATTTGTTTGTATCTTCCATTTAGAAAATAGATTTTGTTTTTTTGTTTTCTATTAGCAGAAATGTAGATGAATGATCCATAATGTTGTAATGTCCTATAAGAAGATGGGTGCCATTAGGTCCTTTGAATAAAAGTCTGTTAAAGAAACATTTTAAGGACTGAGACTTTTATGCAAGAGATGTAATCTTGAAATGCATTAAAAAAATCGGTTGAAAATACTTCATTTTAATCAATGGTATGGTATATTTCCAATAGCCATGTAACACCAGTGTGCTAGCTTATCTCTTTTTGTCACACAAATTTTATCTTAATCACAGAAAAATCTTAATGAACAG